AAGTCTTCATGACAGAATTGAAACATCTGGCGCGTAATTGCAAGTTCAATGCGTTAAGGGATCGACTGGCAGGACTGCGCGACCAAGAGACTCAAAGGATATTGTTCGCAACTGAAAACTTAACCTTTGAAAAAGCGTGCAAAATTGCACTTGAAGAAGAACTTGCTGCCAAGCGAACCATGGAGCTACATTCTAAAGCAGAATGCTCGACCAATATTAATGCGGTCAGTAGGAAAACACAAGCAAAAACCAGGCCGTTGGCACATAAGAACGAAAGGGGTCAAACGAAGACCACTTGTTATTGCTGTGGGAAAGGGCACGATACAGACAAGTACTGGTATTGCATTGCGAAGTGCCGCACGTGTGCTAAAACAGGGCATCTGCAAGCGTTGTGTCGAGAAAAAAAAAAAAACCGCTCGGTGAACTACGCTGAAGCAACAGACGAGGAATCGGACGATTCCCAGACATATCAAGTCGTGATGTGTGCTAGAGATGGGAAACGAGGCTACAAAGTGTCTTTGCTGATTGAAGGGAAGCCTATTTCTATGCTTTTCGATACGGGCGCAGCTGTCACATTGATGCCTGAAAGTACGTTCAAGCAATGGTTTTCACACACTGCATGCAAACCAACAAAGACAGTGTTGAAAACTTATACAGCCTGTAAAGCTGAGAGGACAGGCGACCATAATCGTCGAGCATAACGGCTGCAGAACAGAGCTTCCGCTACATATAGTAGAGGACCAAGGCAAGGCTATGCCTAGGCTTCTAGGGCGAGATTGGCTTGAAAAGTTGCAACTTGACTGGAATACCGTCAGTGCTGTCACACAAAGCGCGGATGTCAGTTCTCTGCAGGAAAAATTTCCAGACGTCTTCCGTACGACACCGGGAATAGTTCGCAACTTCAAAGCCAAAATAGCCATAGACCCAAATGCTACGCTTGTGTTCTGCAAAGCCAGGTCTATGCCTTTGGCTACTAAAGAGGCAGTCAGCGAAGAACTTCGGAAACTAGAGCGTCAAGGCATCTTAAATAAAGTTACTACGAGCAAGTGGGCGACTCCCATCGTACCAGTTCCGAAGCACGGAGGCGGAATCAGAATTTGTGGAGACTACAAAGTAACAATCAATCGAGTACTCAACGCTGATTGCTATCCACTACCGCTTCCTGAGGATTTATATTCGATGCTAGCTGGGGCAAATTATTTTGCGTGCTGGAGTTATTCTCGGCATACCAGCAAGTGCCTCTCAGTGAAGAGTCCAAGCCACTGCTCACGATAAACACACATCAAGGCTTATACGAATTCCAAAGACTTCCATTTGGAATTGCAAGCGCACTGGCCTTATTTCAGGCCATGATGGAGAAAGTCCTAGAAGAAATTCCTAACGTAGAATGCTATATAGACGACGTCATCATCACTGGCCACAGTGCAGAAGACTGCTACACAACTGCCACAAAAGTCCTGAAAGCACTCAGCGACCACAACATAACGCTGAAAGAAGAAAAATGCAAATTTTTTCGCGATTCTGTGGTTTACCTCGGGCACAAGGTCTCGGAGGAGGGCATCTATCCCACCACTGAAAAGATAAAAGCAGTGCGAGATGCGCCAGAGCCCAGTAACATCACGGAACTGAGGGCCTACTTGGGTCTTCTAAATTTCTATGACAAATTCTTGCGGAATTTGGCAACTGTGGTAGCACCACTTTATGAGCTTCTTCAAAAAGACCGCAAGTGGGAATGGACGCAACAGTGCAAGAAGGCATTCAAAGAAACTAAGGAAATGATTCTGAGCAGTGGAGTATTAGCCTTCTACGACGTCACAAAACCAACCAGACTTAGTTGCGATTCTTCCGTTTCGGCTTGGGAGCAGGGAGTTTTCACGATATGCCTGATGGAACCGAACGACCGATCGCATTCGCTTCGCGCACATTAACCAGCAGTGAACGCAACTATGCTCAAGAGGAAAAAGAAGCCGTCACACTCATATTTGGGTTGCGACAATTCTATCGCTACTTGTATGGCCGCAAGTTCAGCCTATACACCGACCATCAGCCGCTTCTTGGGCGTGATAAGCCACTGCCATCATTAGCAGCTGCACCAATGCAGAGATGGGCACTGGCGTTTACAGCGCATCAGTACGATCTCAAGTTCCGGAACGGCAAGAAAATGAAAGCCGCTGACACGCTATGACGGCTGCCACTGTCTACAAGTTTTGGGAACGACGAGCCGGAGTGTTTAGCTGTTTTCGACGCAACCCCACTGACAGCGAAAGACAGTGCTCGAGAAACAAAACGAGACACTGTTCTAACACGTGTTTTAAGCTACGTTCTTTCAGGATGGCCACAGCATTACCCTGACGAACTGCGGCCATTTTTCATACACAGAGATCACCTGTCTGCAGAGCAGGGGTGCTTGACTCGGAGCAATTGGGTGATCCTGCCAGAAACTTTACAAGTTCACGTACTCTCAATGCTGCATGAGGGACACCCAGGATTGAGTCGTATGAAGATGCTTGCACAGTCGTACGTGTGGGGGCCTTCACTCAACAAAGACGTAGAAGGAACCGTCCGGAATTGTCAAGTCTGCCAAAGCACTCGTCCAGCAAAGTCGACAGGTCCTCTACAACCCTGGCGGTATCCAACAAAAGTCTGGGAGAGGATTCACGCCGACTACGCTGTCAAAGACGGTGTAAATCTACTCGTTCTTGTAGACGTGTACTCTAAGTGGGTTGAAGTGTTCGTCATGCCATCGACTACAACCAGGAGAACCTTGGAAAAACTAGATACGTTATTCGCTGCATACGGCTACCCTGAAGAAATTGTAACCGACAATGGTTCACAGTTCACTTCGGATGACTTCGAAGAGTTCTTGAGGCACAGGGGTATCAAGCATACTAGGACCCCTCCTTATCATGCCTCTTCTAATGGAGCAGCAGAAAGGCTGTTAAGAACGACCAAGGAAGCTCTCTTGAAGCAGGTTCTGAGCGATCAACATGCTGGAGTGAAGAATACAGCACAAGAACGTCTCAAAAAATTTCTTTTTTCTTATAGAAACACCCCACACTCGATGACTTCCTGGACACCTGCTGAAGTTTGCCTTAAGCGCCTGCCCCAAATTACATTGTCTCTTCTTAAACAAAGCTTTGTACGAGGCATGGCGGAACACCTGAAACAAGACACGGAGCGACATAATCGCCAGAGAGTACCAGCTGAATTTTTCTCCATGGGAGACAGAGTGTACGTAAAGACCACACGTGGTGAGCCGGTATCATGGCAAGAAGGTACTGTTGAGCAAGTTGTCAGCCCAGTCACGTACATCATTAGGGTTCAAAGGCGACTACATTTCACTTACGTGGATCACTTGCAACAGAAGAAAACTAGCGTATGGACCGAAGTCCCTAGTAATGCGGCATCCGCTACTGGTTCGCGGAATGATGGAGGAATCTGCCCAGGAGAATCAAAAGTGCCAAGAAGCCTTTTGCAGTATTCGTCTTCTCGAGAGGTCTTTTCGAAAGGCAACGTGTCAAGCGAACCTTGGCCAAGAAGGCAAGATCTAACTCAGGCAACCTCATCAGAGTTAAGATATTCCAGCGACGACCAGACTCCCCAGGTCCTACCACCAGAACCACCTCTAGACGCGTCATCAAGTACAGAAAGAGGGAATGTAGGGCTTAACAAGACCGGATGTAGCTCCCCAGCAGTTGAGCAGCCTATTCCTACAGGCAACGAGTCATCGTCAGCATTACGGCGACGAGGCACCCGCGTGTGAAAGCCTCCTGAGTGGTACGCTGCAAAAGACTTCACGAAAAAAGCAAGTTTAAATAAATGACTGTTGTTTCACTAAGAAGGGAAGAGTGTGATATCGGTTATCAAATGAGCCATGACGTAAGACCGTCGTCACGATAAAGCGCTTTAAAAGCAGAGCCTTCCTTAAATAAAGCGGCATTCGTTCCTGGCTGGTCCCGGCGTCCGTGTCTTTCCTCGGCCCCGATAGAACACCATTGTCTGTAAGTTCTTAATAATATTGAGGCTAACAAAGAAAAGTAGCCCTTAAACTTACACTTTTTTCCTAAACTATACGAATTGGTGTGCTTACACTTTTTTTCCTAAATGGCCCACGTGTTGTGGGAACGAAACGAAGTTGAAGAGGATGAAGCGAGCGCGTGCTGGCTCATGTTGATGTGATGACAATTCCAGTTTGCACTACCCGGTGCTTCGAAAGTTCGAAAGAGCCTTGCAGCACTTTTCTGAGTGACCATCGGATGGCTTCATTGAGTTTATTGCTTTACGTATTGATTGCTGCAAAAGTTTTTTGAATTTGTCAAGTAAAAGCGGAGTTGCAGAGATTTGTCGCCTGCCGTAATTGCTCTCTCTTTTCTCTTGACCCCTGATAAGCACCCTTGAAGCTAAGCAGGGAAGGATGGCATGAGGAGAGAAGCCGTGTCACACTCGCGTCTCGATCGATTTTTTTTTGCTTTGGACGCGCAGCTTACTTTCAATGTGATCGCATGCACGCAAACGGCGACGAGGCGGCCTTTCGCAGCTGTATCACTTAGTATGCAGCTCACGATGCACATATGAGTCAGTGGTCGTGAATTTGGGCATGTGACTTGAATTGTAGAAAGAAGAGCGATTTTTACCGGTCTTTGAAAACTAATTGTAAACTTCAGGCTACGCCCTGCGCTATAATGTGTTGCTTGCATTTTCTCAGGAGCTTTGACTATCGATCGGAAGTGTTTTTTGATCACGCTGAAAAAGTGTTGCAGGGTCTCTTAAAGAGCTCCGCTCTTAAAAGCAATTACAAGTTTGCATTGTGCACTCTAATTGTGTGTTATGTGCCTCTTGTGCTTGTGAAGTTGCAGCTTGTAGCAGAAAAACAACGAAGTACTATATAGCGCTGTACACGACCTTGTATATACCTGCAGCTAATTTTCACTGCCACGTAGATAGCTTGTGCATGCCATGCCTGTTTAATTTGCTTCATAACTTTCCATGATTGTTTCCAGGATGGCCACCCAGAGCTGGCGAAGTCACAACTGCGGCTCTCCGAGAAGGACTACAACTACTGGAAACACCTGGCATCTCAGTACAGCCAGAGGAAGAGTGAGGAGCGAGAATTCGAGGAGAAGAAGAAGAAGCAGCTTGAAAGGTCTCTGCATTCTTAACACACTGTCTTTACAGTGATTTCTTAATTAGACAGTATCTTTGCCAAAGTTGTCCTGCATCTATGCGCAAACAATGTCACCAACAAGCCTGAGCTAGGACAAATGCGACCTCTCCGAGATCGCTTTGACTAGGTGTCTGCAAATGTATCCTCTTGTGTTTTTTACCCTTTATGAAAAACTTCACAAAGGCTCTCAAAGGAACGCTGCTGCATTTTGTTTCTCTGAAAGCATGCAAGTTTTAGCAGCTGAAATGATGGTGCAGTCGGCAAAGCATCAGTATCGCTATACATTCAATACAGGCGATGACACGGTGTCTGATCTATTGGGGAGGTAATGTGCAGGCTGGGGATACAACTGCTCGATTATCTTTATTAGGTCATACCTGCAGGTGTATTTCTTAGCACTGCCGCAAAAGAAAGGAAATCGCATCGTATCACACAAACACACAACAAACATGTTTTCCGAATTGGCCACAATGACAATTGGATGTGCAGTTTTATTTAAGGCACCTAATGGATTTTCAAATATGATAGTCTTTTACCTTTTACTCTGATTGGTGAAGGTTACAATAAATACTTCCAATTGATGAAGGTTACAATGAATCCTCGAAATCGAAGATGATATTTTTTGAACCTTTATTTTGTGTACAATGACTTTCTTGCTAAGAAATGTGGATGCAGATCTAAAAACATGCTCGTATGAGACAGCAGATACCCACTTATGATTTCTTGTGTTGTTGTAATTCGCTTATTTTAAAAGAAGTGTGCATGATAGGTTTTGTAGCGTCATTGGCGTACCAGCTCTTTCGCGAGAGGGGGGACTAACCTAACGCACTCGCCAGCCGGTGTATATATATATATATTTTTATACATATATATATGTATTTTTTCACCCACTTTTCTTTCTTCTTAATTACATTCCATTGGTTCTAATAACTTCCCCTGTACATTCCTTGGCATTACTGTCTGTTAGATCTCATTATTATTGTGTCAAAACACGGAAAAACGAGCCCTTAGGTATACACTTCTTTCCCTTATATATATATTCAGAGAGACAACTTCTCCGACATGCTCGCACTTTTATCTGGGTTTTCATACACACGTACTTGTTCAATAGCGTAAAAAAAAGGGAAAAAAAAAGGACAGTCATTTTAAAGCAGGATGCACTGGCACAACACGTATATGTTTGTTATGCATGATGCATGTAATAATATTGCACGTGACGCTTTTTATGCATAATCTCACAATTTTCTACAGGAGTATAATTATGTTGATGGCAGCCTCTTCAACTGTAAATATTTTATCGTAGAATGAAATTTTTAATGACTAAAAACAGCTCACAAAGATCTCAGTTTTCAAATGTGAAGCACTACTTGAGGAACTAAGGGTATTTTGAGCATTTATATCTACTTATTTTAGCTTTCCACTGAGCTCGAGTGCACTTTTTTATTCGTCCCCGCTTTGCAACCTGCCTGCATTGCTCCAAGTTGCCATAAACAAGGCTGATCAGATTTATCGGAGATTAAAGCGGAAATTTTCTTGGCGCTTCCAGTACGGCGAAACTAAAATATTTATAAACCTTAGTCGCAATCTTGCGCTCGCAGCAGCTTCGACAGAGCAGCGGTGATGGTAATACTTTTTGATGAAAGAAAAATATTTTCCTGAAGCAGAAAATTTTTTGACTGGTCCATAAAAAGTTTGTTCGTTCCCATCTATAACTGCATCGACCAGTCACAGCAGAATAAAAACACGAATAAGTGATGTAATATATAGGATCCCCGTTCAGCGCTAGCCTGCTCTACAGTGCTACAGCAGAGGGTGGAAAGCGTCGCAAAGAGCCTTTAAAGAAAATATTCACTGCTAAAAGAATGGAAAATTATCACTACGTTGTACCTTTCCCTCATAATATTTTCTTTTTCTCGTAACACTATATTAATTGAGTGATTACAGTGGTGAAGGAAAATGTTGCCTTTGTTGTTGTTTTCCGCGGCATGCAGCCGACAGTGACCACTGTCGAAAAAGGGGTGCTTGCACCCCCTTTGGCCCTCCCACCCGGCTAATACGCCTATGTGTAGCGTAGAAAACGTTACTATATCTCATACAGCTTTGTGTAACATTTGGCATAAAATTTATATTCTTTTACGTAGCCTCTGAAATGCATAGTTAGAAATGGGATCAGTTGTGGATGAGTTTCTATAAAAGCATTATGTGCTGTAAAAGACGGCACACCACTTGTACACTGCATTAAATGTCACCGCTATTGCTCCAAGTGTTGCCCATGTTTCATGTTGTGTATGCATAGGCTTGTGGGAATACTGAATTTTAGGTTCAAAGCGAATTGTAATTTTGTTCGTCGAATCGAATTCAAATAGTATATATATATTGCACACTGTAAAAAAAAAATGAACCTATCTGTCTTGACCCAGCTAACCTGCACAATATTTAAAAAAAATTGAAACAAGGCTTGTGAAAATGCTATTTTTTGCATCAAAGAAAGCGGAAACAACTTTCAATAGTAGCAGGATTTGACTTTCAGTAGACTGCAAGTGGTAACCTGTAAAATATGTAACTTTTCAAAGTGCACTATTCTTGGAGTCGGTATAGCAAGCTTTTAAACTTAAAAAAGTCACAGCTTTGCCGCAAAGGCGAAGCAATGAACGCGATAGTAACAAATTGGAAGGTCACGTACAGAATGGCGAGCAGATCGAAATGTGCCCCACATTTCTCACACACAAATGACACACGAAACGTACTCAAAGGTACAGATTCACGCGAATAAGCATCTGAGTTGTTACTTTGCTGTGTCTGAAAAGCGCATCCTTTTCTCAAACGGAAGCTGTGCAACTATTGCAGTAACCCTTGTGCACCCCGTAACTACAACAGAATCATTCATAATCATTCTAGTGCAAGCCGAACGCCAGCCAAAACATATATTCCTCCCCATCGGGAGATAAGGGCGCGTGAGAGAACGTCCAACCACATCCTCTTCGCGGGCCAAAGTATGTCTGAGAGATGAGAGCCGCCACGCGGGCATTGTGCCATCTTGCTGATAATGCTGAAAACATGATAGCTTTCCTCCGAGATGCCCACCAGCAGCGGTAAGTGGTAGATATAGATAGCTTGTCGTTTGAACGTTGAAGGAGGTACCCTTGGGTTGCTCAGTGGTTAACGCCTCGCATTCACGAGGCGAAGGTCCCACGTTCGATTTCACGCGCGGGAGTTCTTTTTCTAGATTTTTTTTCTTTCTTGTGTTTTCATATATATGGATACGTATACATATACGGGGCATTACATCGACGAGGATGCCGGCAGCGAAATTCAGCCGAGAGTGTTTATATAGTTGCTTTTGCAATAAAATCAGTTGATAGGAGGGTAATATCCTCATTTAACCTTGAGGTTGGGCTTTGTGGCATTGCGAATTTCCTCTGGACATTGTTTGCACGGTTTAGCACAACTTTACTGAAGTGAAACTACTTTTACAAAAGGGGTTACATGCCAATTAATATACACCTGGATAGGTGCTTTCATGGCGTAGCACCGCCTTACTACAGTGAAACAATTTTTACGAAGTGTCACATGTGATTTTATCATCATCATCAGCCTGACTACGCCCACTGCACCACAAAGGCCTTTTTCATGATCTACCAATTAACCTGGTTTTGTGCTTTCTGTGAATTTCTGTGAACCTGTGAACTTTTTAATCTCATCAGCCCACCTAATTTTCTGTGTTCCTTTCACGCATTTGCCTTCTCTTGCAATCCAGTTAGTTACTCTTAATGACCAGCATATACATCTGTATTAGTATGCATATATTCATTCGTTTCAAATAATTCGAAATTTTCAATAATCTAAATTTGATTTTAAGTGAATTTGAATACAGCATTATTCATTCGAATAATCGATGTAATTGGATATTCGCACAAGCCTAGTATACAAACATGTTATGACATGCTATAAAAATGTTCTCATTCCTCTGCTTGTCCACTTTCTGTGAACAGCTTGTCGTACTTCCTTGAAGACATGGACCACCAGCGACATACTCTCAGCCTTCTCAAGGGCCAGATTCAAGAACTGCAAAGGACGGTCGGCAAATCGTTTTCTTACCTTCAGACGCTCAAGAATGCGACGGACAGACCCGGTGAGCTCCATAATTGCATTATCATGTTAAATAAAAAAAATTCCCCCAGAACTCAAACTTCCGTGATGCCCTTTATGTTTACTAATTTGTTGTTGAATGCACGATGAATTGGGTTTATTTTTACAGAGGAAGGTCCCAGGGCACGCAGCAAAAAAAGAATAACAGTTTCATTTCAAGGGCAAAGCAATGAATCTGATTGCCACAAATTGTAATGTTATACGAAGTAAGGCTGACAGCTTACTCTTTCAGATCCGATATTGCATAACTCTACGAAACGCTAAGAATTCTGCTTTTTTGAGAGACAGATGCTGTTTTCGCACAGCCTCCTTGCATCAGTGCAGCATGTAGAAGGGTATATGAGCCATCCATGCTAATGCCTGCCAAGATAGTGCACATGCCAGCGATTGCACCCACGCCCTTAGAATCGATGCTCACAGGTGCTGCTCGAGCAACCTTTCCCCCAACCCCCTGCATCCCTCAGTGCTCATTCAAGACGAGTAAGGTGTTTCAGAGGCAGGTCTAACACACAGGGAAATGTTATTACATGCGCCCTCTGAGCAACGGAGATGGACAGACTCGTTCACTTTCTGTTTCTGCCGCATTCATTGCCCTCGCTCGCTCGCATTCGCCTCCAGGTAGAACATACGATCTCGAAGGAATGTTGTCAATTTGAACTTTACACGGATGCTAACGACCATAAGGATGGCGACGGAAAGAACCTGTGGAGTGTCCATACAGTTTCTATCACAATAAAAAAAAAACGTTGAATCAAAAAGGAAAATGCAGAGCAAGTGGTGAATATGACCAGTTTGATTTTTAGAGACACTGATAGTTGATGCTTGAAAAGGCTCATCTCATGCAATTCTATTTGACTTCCTTGTTCTTATTTTCACACTTAAATACTTTTACCAATCATATGTTTTGGCAATTACAAACTATAGTTAAATCTTGATATAACGAACTTCAAGACAACATAATAATCGGTATAATAGTGTTGTGTCGTGTGAGCTCTGGTGTCATCCAAGCCCTACTGTGCGGCAAGGCTTCCTGTACATGTCGCTGGGTGGAGCTAGGCCTCTGTTGTGCCTGTTTTCTGCAACCAACCCGGCATGGCCATGCCGATCATGTGACCCACGCTTGGGTGGCCAAACACCCTTGATAGAACCATCCACAATAAACGTGGCAAGCGGTCTCCAGTCAGTCTCGCTAAAGCTTTGTTCATGTATCGTCACTCTATGCGCCCTCCCGTTGCTCGACCTGTTCGTTGGCTTGCCGCGGGTTATGTCGCGCTCCTGCCCCTACACAACATAAAGCATTTAAGCGTTCTTGACTTTATGTCTTTTGAATGCTATGTGTATTTAACCTCAAGATAACAAAGTGTGATTGTCTGTGATTTGTATATTGCAAAGTTTCACTGCTACCACAAAGAAAATGTAGGGGTACTAATAAAATGAAATTTGTGTTGACATTAGTGGTTATATGGTTTAATTGCAAGTTAATTCTTCAATATGAATGAATTTTTTAAAGGAGCAACTGTAGTTTCCCTGAAAAGTTGAGTTTGGATTTTGTCAAAGTTGCAATATAACGGAGCAAACTGCTGATTTACTGGCTTCACTGTATCTGATTTAGCTGTAACTAAGGAAGAGTGAGAGAATAATAAGCCGTATGACCATGCATTGGCAGAAAATGTGTGAGAGGAGTTGCTTCAACTCCACGCTTTTTATTGCTGTGAACATGCAGCTTGGACCAGTGGTTGCTAATAATTAGAATAATTAGCTACATATAGCAATAATAATAGTCATCTTGGGTACCAGAAATGATGTGATAATGATAAGGTTCCCAAAATTAATTTCATTCAGCTGCTTTCTCTACGGTGCCTTGAATTTGATGAACTGTATTGGGCACTACTGTACTTATTTTATTTGACAATACTGCTAACTCCGGGTGGAGTCGTTGCAGAGGGGGGTTACAATCAATAATGATGCATAGAACATTTTAAAGAACACAGTAGTTGAAAAATGAAGATAATATAAAGCAACAAACTAACACAATTTTTGAAGCAAAACAGGAGCACAATTTATATTGACGAAAAGAAGCAAAAAAGAACAAAAACAAATACAGACAATTCATTCAAGTTGAAATATAAGGTGATAGGCATGCAATGCACAAGAATGGAACTTCACATAATCAACTAGCAAGTAAAGAGTTGAACAATTCTATACTGTTGGTTTCGACAGTCGGTGCATCTAGGGCGTTTCACTCAATGATCGTGAAAAAAACAAATGCTTAAAAACATTAATAGCTGCTTGATATGGAGCGATTGAATAACAATGTCGCAGTCTGGTATCGTAACCTGTTGGAAAATTCACGGAATTGGATATACTGCCGTTGAGATTATCGTACCTTTAACTATTTTAAACATAAAACGTAAGCGTGCAATTTTATTCCTCTCTGAAGTGTGCTTCAGATGGACGAAGAAAGCATTTTAGGTAGTGCAGTTTGGGCATTGATTTGCTAGTGATCTCTGTTATGTGATCATTCCAGCGCAAGTCGCTGCTAATGTGAAGACCAAAGTACTTGTAGCACTCGACGCGAGATAGAGTAGTACTGTCAATTGCATAGTCACGTGAGTGTATATGTGTTTTATTTGTGATAGACATGACAGCACTTTTCTTAAGATTTACTGACATTTGCCATGTATTGAACCATTAAAAAAGCTGATGAAGTTCCTTGTTCAATTGCAGTTTATAAGTTAATAACGGAGTAAATTACACAGTCATCCGCGTACAACCTAATTTTTACGCTACAATCGTCTGCAATATCATTGATGTGGAGTAAAAATAATAATGGTGCTAACACCGATCCCTGGAGTACTCCCGAAGAAACCGGAAGCATGGTTGAAGTAGCTTGACTAAACGAGACACACTGTTCTCTAGAAGTTAAGTAAGACTCTATCCATTTACAAATTGTACTATTCTTTAATATGTGCTAGACTTTAAGAAGTAGTTGGGGGTCCGACAGTTTATCGAATGCCTTGGTGAAATCCAGAAAAAAGGCGTCGATTAGAGAATGATTGTTCATCGCTAAAGCAAAGTGATGAATTACCTCAACTAGTTGTTTGACAGTGGAACAAATAGACACGCATTGATTCAAACATAGATATATCCCCCGCCCCTTTTTTAGTATGTGACCCAAATGTGCTATCTATCTGTGTGCATAATTAGACAATACCGACCTATACTGAAACCTCTTTACAAGAGATTTTCACAAAAGTGAAGTATAAGAGACATTTTAAAATGTTTTGATGGTATTCTGACGATCACCATGTCAATAACACTCCGTGCAAGAGACATGGTTACAGGAGATGCTCGGTTACTAAGGGCAACATTCTTGGGTCCCTAGATGAAATTCGTCAATATTTAGAAAAGACATAACCCACGTTTGCTAGTGCAATGCGGCTGACGTCGTAACACAAATTATGGGTGTGATATTTTAGAAGACTCATATATAAAAATAAGAGGTGACGTCACTTTGCTCATGTATTGAACAAATCAAAAACTCCCCTTTGAATGAATTCACTACTCACTGAAATACATATGGATGGTCCTTTTGTAGCGGGCACAAAGCCCCACAGTAATTTGATTCTGGTGGCAATGCACACCTGCTGGTTTTATAAATGATAAATAGCTGCTATTTATTGGTTATATATACAACAAATACGTCTAACCTATTGCAGCCTATTGGTACCAATATGCACCAATAGCTGTTAGCTGTTGCCTGTTGGTACTACTAATGCATATCCATTGGTTCGGTAGGAGACAAGTAGGTGTCTCATATTGAACCCTAATGGTGCCGATACGTGTCTATTGGTTTTACAAGTGGCATATAGTTACAACCTATAGGCACTTTATTGGTCTTACCTGTGACAAATAGATGTGGTCAATTCGTTCTTATTGGTGACAATAGAATTCTAATACGACTTATAAAGTTACAATACAGCTCTCATAGAAACAAGATTTCTCTATAAGAGCAATAGATTTCTCCATTGGCATTTTTGCTAGGGTGATTCATGTGCACTGCACGTGTGCTCGACAGTATCTCCAAATGATGTGAAAAGGCTGCACATGCTTTCCATCTCACAGGTGAGCCAGGTGGTCTTTTGCCAGGCGCTGTGCATGTGCTGTCACGCAAGAGCCCATACCCAAGCACACGTGTCCTTCGCTATCCTGTGCCGGACAAGTATGTCGCATGGCAGGTGGGTCTTTACCTGGTTGTCTTTGTGCACTAAGGCCGGCTTGATTGAGGAAAGTGGATAACTTGATAAAGGGTGCACAAATGGCATACCTCCGGCTGCACGATATGAGGGCGATGGCAGCATAATTAAGGCTATAGGATGGTGAGCCTGCGCAGTGTAGGACCAGGTAGGTTACAAGTAGACATATGTATGCACCCGTTACTACACTAATGTGGACTGCCAATGGGGATTAAATTTAGATGTGACGGTAGCACTGTTGTGTTTCTGCAGGTAATCACACTTGGAAGAAAAATAGTGTGATTATATTGACCCATAATTTAAGTTTAAGGACTGTAAGCATCATTTGCATAATTTATAGCTGCTTAGAAAAGGAAATATGTTTAGCTTGCCAATAAATTCAATTTCAAAAGTACCAGTGTACTTTTGAATGCGGTAAATGCACCAACGAAAATAGACACATGAAATGCTTGTGTATTCTATGTATTCACTTTCATTGTCTTTGTCTTGGTGCACTTATTGTTTTCAATGTGTTGCATTGCAGACTGACTTCTATCCAGACATTACTTAAGCATTTTTGAAGCATCTATTCACAATGCCCATGAACTGTAGGTGGTGCACTGGGAAATTCAAGATGGCACCCTAAGGACGGTCAACTCATTTGTTGACATAGAAACAGATAGGACGTGCGCGCGTACGGCCGCTATCGCTTTCGCCGGATGAGGTCATGGACTGCACTGACAGGAACATCAGGGCAAAATGCTAGCCCAAACCTTGGAAAGTCCGAAAAGCTCACTACCTCATTATTTATTGTGGTGTGAGAGCTTTGTTTAAGCTTCATTACCGGGCATAAATGATGCTTAATGATACTTTGTGCATGCTACAGAAAACGTATAAACTGAACGGCACTCTAAGTATATATGCCATGCCTGACTGTCGAATTTGCCGTATTAATAGGCTGCTAGTGAGTACACCATAGTTGCTGCACAGGACCGCATGATTAGTGTGACCATGGTTTCTCTACATGTTGCTCCGTCATGATACTACTTGTGTGGTGAGGAACACAAAACGGTTCGTTTCCTCGGATGTTACAGCTTTGATGAGCACATCAAAATGAATGCACGCATAAGGTTTTCTCAATCTCAAAGAACTTCTGAACAATGACGTCATTCGGACAGTAATGGTCAAGACCCCATGGTGTCTGTGTGAAATGTGCATCATGCTACCGGCTCGAACTGGTTCTTATCAGGACAGCGAGTTTCCTTGTAAAAATGCTCCTTATGTAATCCCTTTAATCCTGTATGCAATGGCAAGAAATGTTGCACCATCATTCGAGTGCCATTAAATTGGGGTATGTGGGCTTATGTCAGTCTCTCATCAGCTTAAGTACTTCATCAATATTTTATGGCGCACTAGGTACGATTATGAACATACTCGTTTCCTTGTGACTTGTGATGCAATCCTCGGGGACTTTCTGCATGACTTCGCAGAATGTTCTGAAGGTGTAAGTGGCTCACTACTTAAAGCAGCAGTACAGAACTCATTAAGTCCTTTCTGAAAAAACTAAAGGTGTGGCACATGGTTGCACAGCATTATTACACTGAAACCTCATTATAACGAAGTTGCAGGGGAACCACAATTATTTTGTTATATCCATTATCTCATTATATAGATTGTAACAGTTTGTGGCAATATATGCTCAGATGGGCGCACACCTATAAGCATGCAATGAAAGAAACCACCTCGCGGCCTAATGTACCACTACGCGACCACGCATGCAACAGAAAATAAACACAGTCGAATCTTATCGATTCAAACATACATAATTTGAACTTCCGGTTAATTTGAATTCACATTGTGGTCCCGTCAAAGCTATGTGTATTCCAATGGGCGAAAACACTCTCTAATTCGAACGCGCAAGCACTTGTGATGGTTAATTCGAATATACTGTGCTCGGAAAATGCTCTCAGTACCATGCCCAGTGCCGCGGCGGCACCTCTCAACGCTGCGTGGGAAGAAGAAAATTTCTGTTTTTCATGCGGACCGGTTGTGCACCCGCGATCTCCGACGACAGCGCAGCTCTGGCTGACTGGCTCTCTCTACGCCATCTCCCGACGCTGACAAGAGCTCACGCTGAGTAGTGGCCTGTCCTCGGACTTCTGCGACCATGTCCATCTTTCCTATCTTCTTACTTCTGGATGTTGCTGTCCCTGCGCCACGCTCCCTCCTTCTGCCTCTCTCTATCTCTACACCTTTTAATCCTATCCTTTTAATCCCTCCTTACCCCCATCTCTCGTGAGCTACTGTTGTGGTGTCCTCCCACTGAGAGGCAGTTACCCGGCTCACTTTTATCTTTTTTTCATTTAAGAATCATAAGAATCACATAAGAAAAAAAAGACTGTGGCGGATTGTTTGCTCTGTCTCAAATGCCAATCTATGACGGGCCTGTGCCACGCTTCTCCCTTTTTCGTCTCTGTAGAGTCCCTTCTCCTTTCAAGGCCGTGCGGAGAAAGAGAGAGAGAAAAAAGAAAGCTGTCACGTAGAGTTGGCTCTCTCTCTAATGCCGATCTGCTTCTCTTCGCTTGAAGACGCTCCTCCTTTCTCGGTGCAGAGGCTACCAACGGAGACGCAGTAAATTGCTGTCGTATTTAGAGAGCGTTGGCGCTGGACTTAGCCGTGCGCTATGCGTTGCAAACTGCGTGCGTAATTGATTGACTCGCTGCAAGGCAAACGCGTGCAGACCTGCATCACCGATTTACTTCAATTAATGACAGATGTCGTCTGATTTGTGAGTAAATGTAAGTCTTCTCAAGCTTCCCCATCATGTGTTCTTACAAGTGGGAGAGAAATCACTTTGCACCGCGGCGCCGCTTCTCGGTTATGTGACCGGCTGAGCGCTTCCTCAATCTCCTCCGCTGGCTGTGTGAGGAGGACGGCTCTCTCGACCGTGGGTTGCGTGGCTGTAAGGTCAGCGTGGGAGTTTTGAGAGAGTCGCGCCGAACGAGTGTCACACTCCACAGAAAATTATATACTTAACACACAAGGGTCGTTTTTTTATAGACTATTTGATAGACTAATTTAGTTCGTTATATACATTTACCGGCCAATTTTACCTTGTTACAACAAGGTTTAAAATGCAAGGTTCTCAATTGAGCTTTCAAGGGGATTTTCATTTAATTTGTTACATCCATTGTTCCGTTATATCCCGTTACGTTATTACGAGGTTTGAGTGTATATTGATCCATCATGCTGGTGTTTGCTTGCTCTTGTGTGCCGGTTTGGTGAGAGCCTGGTGATGGTGATGCGAGGTAGTCAGTTTGCCCTGTTATCGAGAGCAGTGGTAGTTGGTTATGTGCTTTGCACTAACATTGCAACTCTGCACTTTTTTGTGTGTGTAAGTGTGTGCGTGGGCTGTACAACACCTGACTTCATTTAGGTGTATACATTGCATCTTCTACCTTCTGCTTACTGTCGCTACATTTGTGTGGCAGGTGCTGTGGCTAGAGTACGACCCTGTGGCCTACAGTCGGCCACGCACTGACTTCCCCGCCCATCTGCAGCCACATGTTGATGAGGATATCTTGGAGTGAGTCCTTACTCGTTGCATTGTGTGATGAGGTTGCCATAGCCATTGCTGTGAGGCACAGCACGCTACTGAATTCATTTTTTCACTTTTATTTGTTCTAAAACTGATAAGTTTTGCTAGTGAAAGCGTGTAACTCGTTTTACAAGAAATGACGGCGTTGCAGCCTAAGAAAGAACAGCCTGTGAACATTGCTTCAGTTGTACTATTTGAAAAAGTCCATGTATGTTTCATGTTTTGTACATACAAAGCATGCTGGTTAGCCAATAAGTGTTCAGCAGTGTCTTGATTTGTTGCTTCGTTTGTTGGAAAAATGCAAAAGAATGAAAGAAAGAACAAACAGTTGCCAGGCTCACAAAACTGCAACAATTTTATGCGTAGTAAATTCTTAAAAAGAAGGAAAGCTTTTTAAAGACATGGAACAATTATTTCATCTTTTTTCAAGGTTGTTATTGTTTACTTTTTACATATAAATGCATGGGAAAAGGAAGGAGCCAGATTTTGCATTGTTAAATATGAGTGAAATTGGCTGAAAACGATCATCCTTTGATCAACGAAGTAAATATGAAATGTGTCTACATGCAACAAATCTATGCATAATCTTATGTTTCAATATATATCGATATGTACAGAAGAAAGGCATTTTTGTGGCAGATGCGACGACATTATTTTGAGGTTTTTCTGAAGTATCTACAAAGTGGTCTTTAAATTTGTATCCCAGGCTTAAACTGGCTTCTGATGGTGGTCCTGTACCAAGCTTTGCTTGGAACTCGGTGTCCACAAGCCCTGCAGGTGTGAGCATCAACCGCCAGTCGTGGATCCGTGATGCCGATGGTTTGCCCATTATCTACCGCCTGGACGCGCAGGGAATGCCAATGTACGTGGTACAACATTTTTCGTCTACTTTCTTCGGTGGAAACACGTCATGTTCTTGGTCTTTCTGAACAACAACAATGCTGATATGCGAAACGTTACAGCAAGAACAAGCCATTTATGCCTTAATACCAAATGTAGTGATACCGCATGCTTCAAGCAATGGTAAGCAATGGGTTGTCTTAGCTTTGGCACCAATTGCCCCTTGACTAGATTTGCAAGATCTGCCTAACGCCAAGTTTTTCATAAGTGCTTGAAGCAGTATGCGCAGAAACTGGAGACGCAAACAGGGAGGAGTTATGTTTTATTTTCCAGTTTACTTATACAAAGCAACTGATTCTTTATATTTTTATTCGTAAAGCTGAGTATGTATCATGCCATCTTTTTCACAGCCCTAAAGCAAGGACAGCACTTCTCATGTCAGGTGTCACCTGCAGTTGATGGTAACCGTAGTTCCTTCTGGTTGGCTAAAATTTGACATAACTAAGAACAGTGGTCCCATGTAACTTGTGTACAACATTGCGCGTGATGTTGACAGGTAGTTTCGTTTGACAACAACAGAAAGCGTGTGAAAAAGAAAAGATCGTAAAATTATGTATAACTACAAAATCGCTTTCGGGGTGAGTTGTAATGCCTATTAGACTAAGCTCCCACAGCAAATGACAACTGTTTATGTAAGACAATTAATGTAAGAACTTTGCCTCATCCATAATTTTCAGATTTCTTTACGCTGGCTTGTCGAACTTCATTCAGCACATCAGCTGGCGAGGTACATAGACCCATGAACAAAAAAATTAGTATCGTAAATTAGAATACTCTGAAATCTCATTATAATATAACGGGATATAATGAAATAATGGATATAACAAAGGAAATGAAATTCCTTTGAAAGTACCATTGAGAACCATGCATTTTAAACTTCATTGTAACGAAGTAAAATTGATCGGTAAATGTATATAACGAACTAAATTAGTCTCTCAGATAGTCTATAAAAAAACTACCATAGTGTGTTAAGTACACAAGCATTTTATTCGAACTCAGTTATTTGGAAATCCCGCTTAATTCGAATCGCATACCTCGCAATGTAAGTTTGAGTGGATAACTTGAAGTGGCGGCCGGCACCAGTCCGGTTAATACGAAAGCTTTGGGTGCAATGCGTCAGTTTCAAATCCCAATTTCGCCGCAAATCGGCCAAAACGACGGCTATTAGTAGCCATAAGGCAACGCAACACAGCGATACTGATGTGTGGTGGCTGAAGCACTCCAGCTTCGCTACTTTCAGAGCAAAAAAAAAGAGAAGAAGAAGAAAACGGTCTCGTGGTAAACCAAAACGGGTGCCTGCGAAAAACTGTATGAGCTTCCCTGCGACACAGTGGTGACGCGCGGGCAGCATACTACGCGCTTTTAGGAATGTCAGCAAGTCATGGTTCACTCATTCTTTCTGGGAATGAAAGAAATTAATAAAGGACAGTTTGGTGGAATTCGCAATGTACGCAAACCTCTGATTGCCGGTTGCTCCAGCTATTCGCACCTTTGCTCTGCTAACGAAGTTCGTGCCAGCAATACCTTCTTCAATAACTAAGTTTGGAAGTTTAAAGGATCATTTTTCCCAGCTTGAACACATCGCGAGTTTCTTCATACTGGTCGTTATTAAATTCTTAATTATACCAGAAAGAATATGCGAATGGTCGCATCATGACTTGCTGACGCAGCAAGGTGCATGCGACATCCTGCTCGCGTGTTACTACTGTGTTGCAGTGAAGGTATATTGTTTTCCGAAGGCGCACATTTCAGTTGGTCGCGACAGTAGTTTTTTTTTTAAGTGGCAGCAGCGAGGTCCATCGTTTACCCATGTTTGCAGCAAAATTAAGACCAGGTATTGCTGGAAAGCATAATCCTTGGAGCCGCAAGCTAGCCGGCGCAGCAAACAATGAGGACTGATTGATTACTTTGAACAGTTCTAAGCTCCTTGCATCCCACTTTTTAAATGTTCTGTCAATTCGAAAACCCGCTTAATTCAAATATTTCTCTTGGCCCCAGTGACTTTGAATTAATGAGGTTTTACTGTATATCGTTTTTTGCGGAGTTTGACGCTCATTCGGTGCGGGTTTTTCAAAACTCCCGCAATGACCTTACAGCCACGCCACGCGCGGCCGAGAGAGCCGTCTTCCTCACACAGCCAGCGGAGAAGATTGAGGAAGTGCTCAGCGGGTCACATGACCGAGAAGCAGTGCCACGGTGCAAAGTGATTTCTCACTCACTTAAGAACACACGATGGGGCAGCTTCAGAAGACTTAAAATTAGTCACAAATCAGAGAACATCCATCATAAATTGAAGTAATCGGTTATGTGTATCTATACACGTTTGTCTTGCAGCGAGTCAATCAATTTCGCACATGGTGTGCAATGCATAGTAGTCTAGCACCAACACTCTCTAAAGACGACGGCAACGACTACGTCTCTGCTTCTATGCACCAAGAAAGGAGGACTCTCCGCGACAGCTTTCTTTTTTTTTCTCTCTCTCTCCGCGTGCGGCCTTGAAAGGAGAAGGGTCTCTACGTGCAGAGACGAAAAAGGGAGAAGCATGGCACAGGCGCATCGCAGATCCGCATTTGAGAGAGAGCAAACGATCCGCCACAGTCTTTTCTTCTTTTTTTTTTTTTTCCTTCTTTGCGCTCAGCATTGAGAGGTTCCGCTGTGGGATAGGGCATGGTGCTGAGAGCGCTTTCGGAGCGCGGTATGTTCGAATTAACGGTCGCAAGTGGTTGAGCGTACGAACTACATGGTGTTTTCGTCCATTAGAATACACATAGCTTTGACGGGACCACAGCGTGAGTTTGAATTAACCGGAATTTCAAATTAAGCGTGTTCAAATTAATGAGATTCGACTGTGTTGTTTTTTTTTGTCGCACGCGTGGTCGTGTAGCGGTACATCGGGCTGCGAGGCGATTTCCTTCTTTGCATGCTTATAGGTGTGCGCCCATCTGAGCATATATCGCCACAAACTGTTATAAGTGACACATATAATGAAATAATAGATATAACGAAATAATTGTGGCTCCCCTTCAACTTTATTATAATGATGTTTAAGTGTATTAGGTTGTGCTGTAGATAATGTCTCTGAGTTATTCTCCAATATTCCCAGGCTTTTGCTCCATTTCACACAGCTTTTTGTTGTGAGCTGATACCATAGCTGTCATATTAGAAAGGCTGCCTTAAACTACAGGGTATGCAGCAACGTGCTGTAGTCACAACTTTGTATTGAAGTTTTTTTGAAGTAGAAACACAGTTTGTGTCTTGACAACGGCTTGACTGCACAACTGCTTTATACTTTTGTGCAGGAATCCCATTGGCAGGACGGGATTGCGAGGACGGGGAGCCTTGCCACGCTGGGGCCCAAACCATTACGTGCTTTTTATCATCACCAGGTGACATCACTTGAAAAATTTTGCTGTGTCACGTATGAACCTGTGTAGGCCACATTTATAAAAGCATTTTAAACCATGTTTTTTTCATACATACATTTTAGCTGTGTGTAAGCTAGTAGGCTGTAGATAAAGCTTCATGCTGCATAGCAGGTACATTTTGTGAAATGTATATAAAGTTATTGCACTGCATAATGTGGATTTAAATGGGTGAAAAGTGTACCACTACTGCCATACCTACTTGAAATAAAGTAAATTAACTTGAATTTGTAGCTTAACCTCAAAGTTCGAGGTTTGAAATGCTAAAAAACATAACGTTCCCTTAATGAGCTAATAGTAGGGCTGTGCAAATATTCAGAAGTTCAGATATTTTTCTAATGACATTTGCTGTTTGATTCGATTTGCACTAGCATTTTACTATTCAAACTATTTTAACTTCAAGAAAGGAAAAGGAAACAGTTTATAATGAAAGAAAAAATTGGCATGCAGTGTGCTTGCACTTTGAGGTGCTGCTGCACGACACCGCTTCCTCTGCTGCCCTGAGCAGTCACGAGCTTCATTGTCAAAGCGTAAAATGCCCATCTTTGATTCTGAGAAGCCAGTGGGTGATGCGATTCGATGCTTGCGACAAAGCACATTGCGGCTTCTTCACTTTCGCATTTCCGCGAGTGCGATGTCCTTGTTCACAAATTTCGGATTTGTCTCATACACGGGCACTATGAATGGAGTTAGGCCTAACGATGACACTGAGCACACAGTCGTGGTGTGCATGGGTGCGGTACCCGATGCTTTTAAGTACGTCAAGCTCAATCGCAAATACAAAGAGCCATTCGGTGACGGTCTTTTTAATGAGGTCCGAATTGCCAATCAGTGGGCCCTTTCACCACCAAAACATGCGTCTACGATGTTTGCGATGAGCGTAGGATGCATGTATAATCTGATCATTGAAGTTCTATTTGCAGGTGTCAAATTAAAGCGTAATGATACTTGTAATTGTCAAGTCGTTCACACAGAATGAGTGCGAATACGTCACTATAAGTATTGTTAATAACTGTAACCTCTTGAAGTGCAAACATCAGATGCCGCTCTACCGTATTGAGGATGGCAATACGTGCTGAAGAATCGAGGAGGACACAGCACATTGGAGAGCTCGAGATAAACTTTAAACATTTCCTTTTTGTACACTTGGTTGTGAATTAACGACTTAGCTGTAGTCGGAAATTTGAAGACGGTGAAGTGCCCTTTTCATTGAGCTGTCAGGTTGCGCCATTGCGAAGCAGTATTTTTTTTATAATTTAATTAAGAATATACTTGAAGGCTGCAACTTTTTTCTCTAATTTTGATGCAAAGTATTAATTGTTTTTCGTACAGCTCTAGTTATTAGAATAAATAATGTACTGTAAATGAAACCGAACATTATACTACTGTTTTTGACAGTCAGTCTGCTCAAGTCATTTTACTGCAACTTTGACTCACTGTTGATTTTGTTGACTTTTTTATGGTAGACAGCGTCATCTTGAAGGCAAAGTGGGCATTTGAATATAAATCAACCACTTAGTTTTCTGCACCATTATTTTCTCTTTTTTTTTTTACACTCTTTGAGTGCTGAATGTTTCCAAGAAAAACTTTTCCAGATTGTCCGACTACTTTTTCGAATGTGTGAAATGTGTAAAGTTTGGAAGAAATTGAAAAAAAAGATGAACATGTTTTTTATGTCAGCATTACCCAGAACCACAAAGTGTTCCATAGTATTTCAAGGCGTAGTATACTTCAATACATGGCTATTCCTTGATACACACTGCCTCCTCACCATCTGCACATGTAACATGTTTCCATTTTCTTCTTGGAGTCAGTTGTTGCGTTCACAAACACATGGCATCTTCTGTGTGTGTTTGATTGGGCACTGTAAATTCCTTAATGTAAAAAAGAATGAGAATACGTCGCGAGTTTTGATGATAGACAAGCAAAGAGCAGTGTCAATAAAGATGGAAATCAACATCCACTGCCCCTGCAGTGGAGTGCTGATAAGGATAATCAGTTTTCGATGCGCCTCCGAGGTGAATGTGCGGAAAAACGAAAACCTCAAGAGGCAGCTGCCCATCAGCGTTGCCGCAAACACTGCAATGCACTGAAGCCTGAAACCAACTATGTTTATCTCGTCATAAAGGTAGTGCAATAACTTTCAGTGTTTTTTTAAATCTTAGGAGGTGTCAGCACCTCCCAGTGAGCATTTGTCCTTGTTATGGCGTAAAATGTCAAGCGAAGGGTCAAAAGTGTAGACACTGTGAGACAGAAAACTGCTGCCATAAATGTGCAACAAAAACACTCAGAGGGTTAAATCATAGCATCTTAGGCATTACTGTGTATTATTTTCATGTTGAGATGTTCAAGGAAGTTGAGGAGGTATGAGTAGCTGGTTTGATAACCAGTGCTGCAGAAGAAACGTCATCCAAATAATAGAGTGCAGCAGTGTAACTCATTAAGCCCTGGCATCCAATTTGTCATTTTCTTTATGCTAACTTACGAGCGAAGGAGCACAGTACTAGAGTGTTAGAAAGCAGTGAAGAGAGGTATGAGAGGTATATTGGCTGAAAAATATTCAGAGAAACTCATGCGAGGATTCTTCAGTGACATAAAAAAGAGGCAAAGGGGCCAAAAGAAAACAGTGCAATCCAATTAGTATTCAAGTTCAGCCTACCTCCTTTGACGATTTATATTTACTATGTCTGTTCGAATAGTGATGTCAGCTTCATTTTTCACGTTTCATTGGTATACTGCAAAGACTTGAAGTAACGAATGTTTCTGTGCTTCTCGGATTAAAGCTATGTTTAGCAGTAGAAGTCAAACTTGGATGAGTGGACGTTAATTAATTACTGACAAGTGGAACATGGCCTAACCTAAATTCTAAATTCTGGTTTTGATGGGCTCAATGTTCAACTGAGTCTGTTCTAGAGTGGTAACAATCAAGCACGCATTGTTGATGCAGGTGGCAGAGGGCCAAGGTGCACCTAATTGGGGGCAGGGGCCTGGAGGTGGTCCTCATGCGTGTCTTCCGGACAGACCACTTCAGCCTTCCAGGGGTGAGTGCCTTCTCGACATGTCTCACTGTGCCCCTTCATTAGAGGAGTAGTGACACGAAGGCTATTATTTATAATTTGTCAAGTGAAAGACCAAGATTTCAAAAGCTCATGAAATTCAGAGATAAGCATCAGTGGGGACCGAAGAATTTATTGCTTGATCTTAAAACGTAGTTTCGTGAGCTACTGTGCCCTGACATAGTGACATAGTATGTGCTTCTCCTCATGTGCTTGCTCAAGATATCGTTATGTTGTCCCAACTATTCTGCTGTGTGGCTCCATTTCCGACATTCAACGTCCATCTTGTATGTTTTCGTACCTGATGACAGGCCCTGTTGATGCATGAGGTCACTAGAATTAGTAATGTAATGTGATGTTCTAGTGTTAATACCAATAGGTGTGTCATGTGAAAATTGGCTTTAATAGATGGATGAACTTTATGGGGTTCTTTAAAACACACTTTAGCACGTTGCAGGCCACTCCCACATCGGAACAGCTAGGCTGAGGTCTCTCCACTTCATCAGAGCCCATTGGCATACTCATAACTATCGTTCACATCTGGAGCTGGTAGTAGTACGCTCCCATTTGGATAGTATAATGACTTCACCACGGTGTAACGCGAGGCGCCACCAGAGTATGTGTTCCAAGTTAGCTTTATCAGCGCAGAAGGAACATGTATTAGTTGACTGTATTTCAGGATATATTTTGCGCTGTAGTGCGGCACTAGTGAACACGCCGACCTGAAGAAGCCCGATCGTCAGGGCCTGAAGTCCGCCTAATCATCTGTGTGGTTGAGGGTGTAGTCTCTGCACCAAATAAAAATGTCATTTCGTTATACAAGATGGGAGGGTTTCGGTTCTCCAAAACGTCTGTGCTGGCCCCCTGATAGCAACGCGGTTTACTAGTCCTCACAGCTATGTGGGCTATGTTAAAATTATGGGTGTGCGAATATTCGAAAGTTTCGAATATTCGTCGAATATTCAATTTGCACTATTCGTATTCGATTCGAAAAAAGTGTATTCGAAAAGTTCGAATATTCGAAGTGATTCGAATATTCGACAATATTGAATATTTGATTGGATTATCATGCGGAAAATAACTCTTATTTAATATTTCCGCTAGGTTCAGAGATATTAAAACGTTGCCCAGTCAGAAGTGCACGGAGGCACTATGTCGGCCAGCGAAGTTCAACAATCAGCAGCAAAGTTGACGTTCGTATAAACGTATTGCACGCTTTTCGTATGCCGCCGTAACGTGCTGCACTACCACACGTTCACTATGCGGGACCTCGTGTGCAGGAACGAAGCTTAATTGTTGCCGCCGCGTTGTCTCATCAAAACATCGCTTGATAACGCACGACCGTGCATGTGCGTGCTAAAGCAGAAACTTCGTCACCATTGGCAAACCCTTCGATTAGAAAACATAATAAGTGACAAAGAGAGTTCTAGTGGTAATTTGTACCATGATGTCGCATTTATTTCCTTTTTCGAAAAAGTTCCGCACGTGAGCAGTCGCACAGTTATACAACATGGTCGAAAGCGGTTAGTCCCAACTCGGGATTTTATTGCCAAGTTATGTCGTATTCCAGGCAAGTATGCGTTAAATAACTTGGACTGCATTCTAAACATATTGAATATATGAAACTGTAGTCATGCGCCGACCTTTCAGTTTTATATATCTGTATATGCATATAAATAATTTTCGTGCTGGCCACCAGAGCGCATGAGTAGTGGTAGTGCGCCATGTAGTGCACAGTGCTACGTTAGTAGGGTCAGCGGCGCTGGCTAGTGCTGTCAGCCGCTACGATCAGTTCTACTAGCTTGTGTGCGGTGCACATGGTGCGGTTTTGATGCGAGTCTTTGTAACCTATGATGGACTCGCGTCGTTAATAAGTGCCATGGCAGATAGTGGAGGTTATGACGACTCACCTGCGAAACGGAGGAACAATCAAGACACGGTGCCGAAACGAAAGGAAAGAAGCGCTATCTGGAAGCACTTTGTGAAGACATCGTCGTCGTTGGCGCAGTGCAAGAGATGCGGCGCAACACTTAAAACGCCGACGGTTACGACTAGTTCTCTTGTTAACCGTCTAAAACAGCACCCAACCGTGATGAAGGAGTACCGGATGACTGCAGCAGGTGCGCCAGAGAAAGACCAGTCAATGATATTTGATTTTGTGCACCATACTGACCCTTTGTTGGAAAAGAAACTCAAGCACTCAATGCCAAGGTGGCTGCCATGGTAGCGCTTGATTTGCAACTATATAGTTTTGTTGAAGACCGCAGATTTAAGGAACTCATGGCAGAGGCTGCGCCTAACTATCGCCTACCGTCGTGCACCACGCTTTCACATACCATTATTCCGCGCTTGTTTGATGACACACGGAAGAAAGTGAAGGACGAGCTCAGCAGTGCTTTTGAAGGAGGAACATCTGCAGTCACCTTTACCAGCCTCATGTGGACATCACGCGCCAACGAGAGTTATGTGAGCTTCACTTGCCACCTTCTCACTCCAAGTTTTAGGATGAAGCGGTTCACGCTTAACACTCGCCACATGGTTGTTAGCAACTCCGCCGAAAACATTGCGCAAATGCTTGTCGAGATGTGCGTGGAATGGGAAGTACCGGATGGCTGCCACAAATACATCGTCACAGATAACGGACGCAACATCCGTGCCGCGGTCAGAAGGCTCCCGTGGACTGAGCGTGCGTGTTTCGCCCACACCCTCCAGCTAGCAATTCACGATGCAATCTCCAACACACCGTCAATTGACCGTCTGTGCAAGAAAGCGAGGCACATCGTGGGCCACTATAAGCACAGCTCATCTGCGCAAAAGAGATTAGATGAGTACCAGAAGAAGATGGGCAAGGATCCACTTCGTCTGGTGCAAGATGTAGATACGAGGTGGAACAGCCAATACCTAATGCTGTCCCGCCTCTTGGAGTTGAAGGAGGCTGTCTCGGTTGAACTGGCAGCGTCAAGTAGCAGCATTGATGGTCTTTGCTCAGCAGAATGGAAAGAGGCTCTTGAATATCTGGACGCACTGAAGCTCTTATATGATGCAACTGTGATAACTAGCGCAGACAAATACCAATCACTTTCCACTCAGATATAATTATTTCGGTATGCTAAGTTGCCTCAGCAACTTTAGAGGCACAACAGGCTTTCATAAGGAACTGGCAAGGTCTCTCAATACTAGATTCCCCTTATATAGCGAGGACAAAGAAGCATGCTTGGCTATGTTTTTGGACCCACGCTTCAAGTCAACGTTATTCAGAAACAACAAACAAAAGTTGGTGTGGCTGAAAGATCTGGTGCTTCAGGATGTTGCCCTATGCCCTGCTGTGGAAGTCGTGCAGCCAGCAGCAAAAGTGCAGGAGCCACAACAGTGTGTGCAGCCATCCTCTGATGTTTGGAGTGCATTTGATAATCTTGCAAATAGTCAAGTAGCAAGTACACCACTATCTACTTCAGAATGGGAAATTAAAGCGTATTCTGAAGAAGCCCTACTGAAGAAAGACAGTGACCCATGTGACTGGCGGCGGACTGTGGGCACCTTCAGATACCCCAGTTTGGCAAAGCTTTGCCCCAAGTACTTGCCCATACCAGCCACTTCAGTTCCAAGTGAGTGTGCCTTTTCAGTGGCAGGGGAGGTTGTCTCTGTTCGAAGGGAGCGCCTCCTGCCTGATCATGTGGAGCAACTCATATTCCTCCATGATAACATGTAGTTATTATGTTTCATGATAACAGCTAGTCATTACTTGCATTGTGTTCCAAATAACAGTGTATGTTGTGTTAACAGACAGGCTGCTGTGTATTTTTTTAGATAAATACATCTTAAATTATTGTTACTGTAGAGGCATTTGTCCTTTGATATTCGATGGTCAATTCGATATTCGAACATGAGTATTCGTATTCGATTCGTATTCCAAAAAATTCATATTCGCACACCCCTAGTTAAAATAAAATATCTTATCAGCGTTACCTAATCTTCACGCTTGCTCAGAGCGATGGAGAAAAGTTGAATGGTAGAGTGTACTTGGCGTCAAAGATTGGTGTCAGTACCTCCGTAATGATTTTATGGCTTGCTCTAGAAAAGCACAAAATGTTGGGCTGCACCCACAGTTTGCTCATTGTTCACTACAGCACAATGTGACATGTCTGACGGTTGGGGAGCTGTGCCAAAAAGGAAGTTTCTTTAATGCTCTTTAATTCCCGATTTCCATTTCAGGCATCACAAGCAAGTTTGCCTGTAGTGCTTCTCGCCATTCAATCAACATGTTTGCATAAAAAAATCAATGAACAGAAAAACAATCTTTCGCTGCAGCTGACGGGTGCTCCTATCACAATATCTTGGCTTTTTTATTGAAATGAAGGAGTTAGTATGGGCATGTTATTTAGCTTGATGTGTCTACTGCAGGAGAATCAGATGAACTGCTTTGGCTATTATAAGTCTTATGTTAATTCTATTGTGACATCTGCAATGCTGTGTATGACAGCCAATTTTTTATTGCAATAGCTATTGCTTGGACATTCTAAGCACATTGTAGCTCTATTGTAACTCATGGTGTAGAGAACGCATTGAACAAATACTAATATGAAGGTTGTGCATTTGGGCTCCATTGATGTAAAAGGTGATTATTAGTAAACTATAATTTCAATGTATGTCATAATTACAACAGCACAGTTAAAAACTTCGAATACTGCCTTTATGCTCTCCTTGGCTTAACTGTCTGCTGGATTTACTTAGCTTTGTATAAAAAAAAACACTCAAACCACGATATATAAATATCCCAGATCTCACTTAATATTGGGTATAACGAAATAAATGAGAAAGAGCTTTGCAATACTGTATTTACTGGCGTAATTAACACACGTGCATAATAAACACGCCCCCCACTTCAGTCATCAAAACTTGAATTTTTCTTTTCCTTCCATAATAAACGCACCTCCTGCGTTTGTCCGCTGCAGTCCCGCTGACTGACACCTTGTGCCTCCTTGCCCATTGGATCGCTTCCGTTTTTTTATTATTATGCCGACCGTTCTCTGCCACCTCGGCTCGCTCCCTCCACCCCTTTGCCCGCTGCAGCGGGCCGTGTTGTTTTTCTTTTTATCTGTGTGCGGCACGTGCCCTGTCTTTTTTTGATTATCTATGCGCCACAGTGCGAGTGCAAAGACACCACAGCTGACCGGCACACAGTTAGTGAAGGCCACGAAACCGCCCGCACCAACCAATGGTTGCTTCCTGCAAACAAAGCTTTAAGGCCCAACCACATGCACGCGATCCTCGTGCGACGACAACAGGATTTGCTGTTGTCATGGATGTCACGAAGGGTCATTCGTTGCCATCGAGTAGCAGGTGTCTGGAAAACCAGAAAAAAAATCGTTTGTCACTCAGAAAAGATCGTAACTATTTCCGCAACCTGGTAACACCTCAATTCTCACTTTTGTTGCAGTTTTCTCATTGTGCTTGTTATCCGCGTGTACTCTACAGTAACGTCTCACGCCGGCATCGAAGTGGCGACCGTATTTTGTTGTTAATCTTGTTATCAATGGTTTGTTTTGATGCTTGGGTGGTAGCCTGCTGCAATGTTGGTTACTTGCTACAATGTCAATGGCGCTGTTCTGGTCATCGTGCAAGGTTGCCGCCTAGTTGGCAAAGTGCTTCGTGGCATCGTAGCGCACGCTTCTGGGTGCCCCTAGAGATCACAGCAGGTATCATTGTTGCAGTTAAACGATTGCGAAAAAAGATAGCTGCGGAATGCTTTTATGGCATGTGCAGCCGGTGCAGGGACAGCTTGCAAAAGATAGCGCCATTAACCATCGAAGATGAGCGAAGTGTAACAAAGGAGCTGTTTCCAAACAGTGTACACTTATGTAAATTGTGAAAGGCTAAGCGACCTAACTTTTTTTGCATTACTGTATTTTTTGCTCCTCCCAAAAAACTTTTAATAAAACTTTCCCCACGTAATAAACACCTCTATATTTGCTCCGATTCTTCAAGAAAAAAGGTGCATTCATTACGCAAATAAATATGGTAGATAGTTTTAGGAATATACTTTCATAACGAGTTTTCACATATAATGAACTTATTTTCGGAACTAAAATTACACTTCGTTGCAATGAAGTTTGGTAGTATAACAATGGCATGTGGCTCTTCTCTCAGGACTTTGTACCTGGAGAAGCCAAATATGACACGCTGAAGCTGCTGTTCAAGCCAGAGACATTGGCCAAGTGTGAGACTGAGGATGACATCAAGGAGGTGAAATACGTTTTCTGTCTTCTTCTTACCATGAGGCTCTGAAGAACCATAGTTGTGAATTTTAGGTGTTAGTATGTCTTTTAGGACATATGGTGGCTGCAAACTGAAATGTGACAATTCCGCGTTAAGCAATGAATATACTTTCGTTCCTATTGTGTTCATTTCATTTCACGTCGGCATAATTTATATAAGAATGATTACGATGGATCTATCGTCACCTTCACTGGCCAGGTTCATCGGGACATGACACAGACATTTCGAACAATTGTGCATGCCATGTGATAAACAACATGTTTTGTTATTTTGTTGCAGTGTTAGCACTTTACATAGGTAAATAACTCCGCATTTTTTCATGACTTCTTGAATTTCGCAGTGCTTGCTGTAAGTATATAGTATTCTATTTCTTTGTAATTTCTAAAATGATTCTATTCTTTTTCTTCTTTTGAATGAGCAACAATCTGCTGCAGTGGTAATCTTTCTTGAATTCATATATTGGCAAATATCTAGGAAAAATGTCCCCGACAAATAAACTACAAGCGCTGTATGAAAGTACTCAGGAATGAGATGCTAGTGGAATAGTTTAATTAATATTAACAGCAATGTTTATGTCCAGCTATGTATAACATCATGCAATGCTATTCTTTTTAGTGGTTGGGGTGTGCTAGCCACAAAATTGTCTAGCGTGTTGCTGTCTTTAACTGCAATCAGCTCTGATTGGATCCAGGGCAGAATTTCATACAGTGCCCTGGAATCTATCAAGCAGTGCACGCTTTGTTGCTGACAAACGGTATGCATGGTTCTTTCGTAACGTTTCAGTTTTTCCGAAGCTGCCACTTAGAAGAAGACGGTGCGGACGAGCCGCTGGTCGAGTGCAGGCAGCGTGGCTACATGGACGACCCCATGAACACTGATCACTGCTGGCGTGAAACAGAACTGTGGAACATTCACTACGATGGTGCAGAGAACCTGCAGGACAAGATGCAGGTATGAACCCAGATTGCTCTGTATCGCTTTATTTAACGTAAACTGTGAGCATAATGGGCGCCATACGATGCATGAACAATTGACATTTTAATAATAATAATGGTTACATTTTCGCACCTTAAACCACTTTACCACTATTTTAGGTCGCATGATAGCAGCATGATGGAAAATTTTTAGGTGAAGCAACAGTGATGTGTAAAGTTTCGTGAGCCACAGTTGTAATACTCAAAGCTAGGCTTGTGCGAACATTCAAATGCTTCGAATATTCGGTTGAATATTACGGTACTCTAATTTGCTTTTATTTGAATTTAAATTATTGATAATTTTGAAGTATTCAGAAAGAACGAATAGGTGTACACACTCAAACCTCGATATAATGAACTTGGATATAACAAATTATCGGTTATAACGAAGTAAGTGACCAATAGCTTTGCCATAGACACAGTGTTACTAATGATTGTTTATAACGAATTTTCAGGTATGAAGAAGTATTTTCGTGGCAGATGTGACTTTGTTATAATGAGGTGTGCATTAGGCTGCATGTAACCCCCTGCAAAGGTGGTTTGACTGCAGTAGAGTGCAACGCCGTGAAAGCATGTATTGAAATGTACATTTGTTCGCATGTAATTTCCTGTAAAGGTGGTTTCACTGCAGTAAGGAGGTGCCAAACTGTAAAATCATCTAATCAAAAGATCCATACTGCCGCGAAGCTCCACTTCAAGTTTATGTGACCATATTACCCTCGCATCGATTCATAATTTTTTTAAGTTTAAAGGCTTGTTATACCGGCTTATATGCTCTGAGTATAGTAAATTGTAAAACTTCATGTATTTTACCATTTATCACTTGCATTCTACCAGTCAAATGATGCTACTATTTATAGTAATGTTTCCATTTTTTTTTTCAACTAAAGAGAGTAGCATTTGCACAGGCCTTGTTTCAATTTTAAAAATACATTTTTTAAGCTAGTGGGGTGATGACAGATATGTTCATTTGCCTATAATATGGGATATATACCATTTGAATTCGATTCGTAATTATTTGACCCAAATCACTATTCACTTCCAACCTAAAATTCACTATTTACAAAAGCCTACTCAAAGCATTGCAATTGCTCTATGGTTGTAGCATGCCTCTACTGAGCACATTTATGTAGGCTCATGTTCTTTCTATGGTGGCTATATCCCAACAAAAGCCAAAAAATCTTATGTGTTTAGATTTAGGGGCACCTTAAAGAATTTCATTTTCTCAATTTAGTGCAGGTAATTTTTTATTGAAAAAGAGGACAGGCTTTGGAATATTTGACCTTACAAAAATTTGAGGGTGCATCATGTTCACGGGTAACTTCTAATTATATTTTAAGAACGAAGCTCCTAAAGCCGTGGGTCTGTCCTTTCTGTGTGGCCGTTTCGTAACCACCTTTGCAAACAACAAGAACAAAAAAGTTGATTAGTATATTATCTGCACAGTCTTACATCTTTCTAATTATGTAATGGGCTAACTTTCACGGGAAGCCAGCACGATAATTGCCGGTCAGCGAAATTTGCAGGCGTGCGTGTTGGCATTGCGCAGCTGTGTTTGTGAACGGCTGCAAATAAGTCAATATAAAAGTTTATTTGTATCATATACGCACAGTCTTGCATCTTTCTAATGAAGTGATGGGCTAACTTTCACAGGAAAGTTATTGTTTATTAATGATCTCCCCCTCTCGAGCTTCGCCCACTTATCATCATTCATTCCGTGAATATGGTGCGATTTTGTTTTGTTTTGAGGATGTCTACAAAGTTCTTGGTGTGGCTTTTACATGAGCATGGTCAATAGTACACATCTGTATACAGTGCATAGCAAAAGAATTGCATAAATATCATGCCTGTGAGAGAATGCATTTGCTCCAATACTGCATCTGTGAAGCCGGTTGAGCCCTGCTTGGCAGAACAAGCTGCCACTATACAGATGGTGCAGTCATAGAAATATATTCTGCTGGTTTTCAAGGATACTAAAGTGCATATTGAAAAATGGCTTTTCTTTTGTTCTTGTTTCAGAACCACTTGCTGTGGCGGCTGGTCACGGAGGACCTCTTTATGAAGCTGCCACTCGGGCAGTCAGTCCTGCTGCACGAAGTGACCAAATCACTTCAAGCGAGCATCATCTAAGCCTGCTTAGGGTCACCGGTATCCCGACGCCGATCCTTCAGGTCTATGACATAACTTGGCTGTGATTATTGCTCCTGCCTGTACGACATGCCTAGTGGCGCCTTCGTTGCACGTGGATTCTACACAGTGGCAACTGCTTCTTGTGCTTTAGTGATGCCGAAGCTCGGCAAGGACGCCATTCATTGTTGACCTGCTTTGTCTCTCACAACATTATAGTATTTAATGCTTGTTATATCTTTTGACAGGTGTGCTTAAGAACACGCTACGCTCTTGCACTCTAACTTGATGTGATACGTTTATTGTTATTGTTTATGTTTTTTCAGAAGCATCACAGTATAATTCGGGTGTGGTAAAGCACCACAGGATTATAAGCCTTTTGCAATGTGCCTGTTTATGCTAAAAGCATAAAAGCTATATGCTTGTGTATGAACTGTGTTACCTCTTCTGTCAAGTGTGTGGCAAACTTTTCTATGTTGTAATGTGTAGGCTCGCTTATGTATTCGTAATTTATAGAGGACCACGGCATGTAGATAGGTGATAATAAACAATAATGACGCGTCGACATGCTACATTTTGAGCATAGACATGTATTATAATCAGAATGCGTTTAATGTTTGACAAAAATGTGTACTGTTAAGTTTTTTGGTAAAGTGTTGTGTTAATATGAGCATTACTACTGTATAGATGTGTACATACGTATGTCGTGTAGTAGCATTCGAGTTTTCATTCAATGTGGCACATCTTGAAATTTTGTCCAACATGGCTCAGGGGTATGTTGTTACATTATGCATCCTGAAAGCTGTGGTGAAATTGAAATATGTACTTAGCCTTCTTCAGCAATGTTTCTTTCTGCCTTGTTGAAAATCGTGTTATGTTTAGAACCTTGTGTGCACGCATCTTAGGTGTGATACTACGCGTTATGAGCGCCTGAGGTTCCGGGAAGGTTCTTATTCAGGAATATGATCTGTATCTTTGCGAGAAAGAGTAGGCAAACAAGTAAAGCTTCAATTAGCAAACCTTTGTTTTGTTCAGAATAACAGAGCTGAGCTAGTTGGTATGTATTTACTCTAAAAGACAGTGTTTATAAACACTGATGCAAGTGCGTATTGTATCCTACCTCTTAAGATGGTTGCTGATGGCACAGGATTGCTTGTGAGCTAATCTTTCGTGGACAGCATAATGATTCTTTTTGATCCTCTTCACACAGGAAACACAGTCATTGACATGCCAAGCATCGCAGAAAATTCAATTGGTTCATCCAGTTCTGATGTTCTCGAAAGTATTTTAATGTCGGAAAAATCTGAACGTAACTTGGTGCTTCATTTTTCAGAAGTGTTTGAACCAGGTGTGCGAGATCACATGTGTGACTTTATGTAGAAGCGCACAGGGTTCTGAACTTCTGAAGTTTTCAATTTTAGAAGGTTTTGATTTACTCAATTGTCACACAACCTTGATTGTATTGTAATGGTTGACTTTATACTCCATTTTACAAGGTGTTGGCAGTGCTGTGGAAGGCATGGGCTTCCTCAGCCAATCATGACAGAGCGCACTACATAAATGTGTTCCTACGCGGATGTCGCATTCTTGAATCTGACGAGTGGCACTACACCACGTCTGTGCGAAAGATGAGTGCTATACTAATTAACTTTTAGTCTTGGTGGAAGCGGCGCTTGGCACCTTCTTGACATGTTTTGTTCATTTTTGGATAGGCTGACACTCATTCCAAAAGAACTGGCCCCGTTCTGTCTATATTTAATATCACTTGTTCTTGTGAGTTCTTATCACATCAGAGCTTCTTTTAAAATGTTTATGCCACCACTATAAAAAAAGTTACTCCAATCATTGAATCAATCAACTTAAGTTATTCATTGAGACAATTAATGATCAAATCATTGAATCTATCAATCCAAAGGTTTATTTTCCGACATAGTAAAATATTTTTTTTTATGTTTGCTACTTTCACTACGACAGTACTGAATGTTCCCATCCTGAATGCATCGCATATTGCCATGAGTCTCTTAGAAGGGCTAACATTTCATCGTTCTCATCACAACACTAATGTGGCGTTGCAGCTCCACATAAACTGCCGGTGACATTACACAATGTGCGTTGCTTCTATGAAAAATGCGTTCCGAGAGCATTTTTTATACTTGAAGTCAAGCAGCTGCTGCATCCTCTGCCTTGTCACTCTGGGTATCATCAGTAGCATCTCTCCCTCTTTTAAGGGCGGCACCACTTTAGAGGTAGCTGGAGTTTCACCTTTCTCAAAAAACGTATACACCGCCCATCATAATACGACCAGGTCAAAATCGTCCAGCTTATTTGCCCAATCACAGACTCACACTTCCATTTCACTGGCCTCTGCTCAGCAGTGAGGATTAGCTTCAGCCTTGATAGCATGAACACCAGGATCTTTTAGGTGGTGGCATATAACTTCTGTTCAGCCGTCTTGGTGGTGGTATCGATGAGCTTTTGGTGGCGTCGATGTCAGAGTCCTCTTAGTGGTGGCAGTGTAGTGCCATCAAGTCGTCTTGTGGGACACTTTGCTTTGTTACTCACCGTCTCACCATTCTATCTGTGCCTCATGTTTGCCTTCATTTTAACGGCGAAGCTGCTCTCAGTCAAGCCTTTCTTGTTCGTTGGCGTAGCGCTTGTCAGCGTGTGTTGGAACACGAGTCATGGGGTCTTGAAGCTTAAGAGGGGGGTGGAGGAACAGTGCAAATGACAGAGAAGAAAAAAGAAGATTCAAGCAAGGGTTCACAAACGTCTTGGAGAAACATACATATAAAACATACAGGGAAGAGATCAATGAAGGAAGGTGAAAAGGTTTTTGTCTCTTGGGAAGAGGGTAAGGATCCTGACAATGTTTTTAGCTTTGATGTGGTTAGATATGTCATGTGATATTATCCTAAGGCCCAAGCACAATTAACTGCCTGATGTGAAACTGCTAACTGTAGCACAGATTCATCTTAGATATATTTAGAGGTTGTGAGAATAGACGCATAGGATGGTGTCGAAAGTCAATTGGATCTAAGGCTAGTGAGCTTTACTCTCGTGCAAAAAACACTTATGTAACTCCAGTTTGTCTTTCACATTTTTTATGCTCATTTTGCTGTTGCAGAATGGTTTACTATTGTGCACTGGAGTAGTAATTGGCGTTTAGATATCTTCTTTGATCCTAGAGTGTTTTGATACTACATATATACTATCCTTTTAGCAATTCCATACAGTACTTTACAGGATGAAAACTCGTCACTATTTCTAATGTCTCTTAGTCGCTTTAGTTGCTGTCATGTATCGTGGAATTAAGCTTGGGAGCTACAGTGATTGAGTAGTGTCAAAGTGGTGTTTTTATGTGTAGCGCGTCATTAGTAAGGAAGTAGTCAGCAATTTATTTATGGATAACCAGTTCAGTTGGCAGTGTTGTCACTGAGCAACTTTAGGATTTCTAATACTTGAAAAAGACGGCTGCTAAAGACACTTTGAACTGTACTTTGTACTCCATTTTCAAAGAATGGGCATGAGTAAATAATGTTGAGTATACTGACATATGCTAGTTCTGCTTGCCCCTATCTCAATTTTTTTATGTATGCATATGGTTGTTTGTCAATAACTTTAGAATGCTTTTGAAGTTCTTGTGGGCATTGGTGAGATGATTGATTGATTGGTAAATCCTAGTTGTTTTATCTTAGTTGTACATTTAAGATGATGCAATTTATCAATATGTCTTTGCCAGACTGGCCAAGTACAATACGTTACTGTGATTGGTGTGCTGTTGCATGTTGCATTGCACATAACCAATGTGATAAGTAAAGAACAGACATACACACAGCATCCAAAACAGTCGTCTGCGGTATTACTACAAGAATGCCTTCTGTCACCGTAGATGCTACATATTTTCGGGCCATCACGAAATTTGTCATATTACAAAAGGTTCGTTCAGCTGTGGTGCTCACTTGCAATGTCAACATAGCATCTTGTGTGGTCTCTAGCAGAAACTAGCACACTTAAAGAACACTGATTGTGACATGAACTGAGTATTTACAGGGTTAAAAAAAAGCTTGTGTCATACAAGACAATGAACTGGGCTTGTTGGTGCACGTTTGTATCAATAGTGTTTAGTGCTAAAGCACAATTCATTATGAACATGTGCACACGCACTTATACATCTATCACGCACACATGCGCGCATACTAACAAAGTATAAGAAAATAGTCAAGAAAATCAATGAACAAATGTGCATTCACATATCTCCTCTTGTTCTTTCATCGCTGTTGCTTAGACCTTAATGTTAAACTAAGCACAATTAAATGGGGCAGTGCGTTGTAAATGTTATAAAAGGGGGTCCTGGACAGCACTGAGGAAAAAAAAAAGAAGAAAGCAGTCGAGCACTTAACTAATAGTAATGCACAATAAACTTTCGACATAAGGTCCATCTTAATGTAAACAATGCAGGTTTTTACAAAAATATAAAGTTCAAGTTATACGAATATTTTAAAAGGTATATAGAAATTTGTTAGCAAATTGAAGATTTGCCTTCCATGTTAACTACTAATCCGAAAAATTCTGGCAAGTAATTTCCCCTCACAATGCTACCACATCTGTCAGTATACAAGATGCTAACCACATGCGTCTATCAGATGTAGATAGCGCTTCAGTGTTGAACTCATTTTTTTCATCTGTGTTCACGTGTGAAGATCATTCCAGAGTGCCCGAAGTTCCCGAGTTTGATTATACATTCATGGCACCTATTGACGTCAGCACTGAAGGGATTGCGAATCTTATTGGAAAACTTAAATTATCAACTTCTTCAGGCATTCATAACATTAATTCTAAGGTCCTCAAAAACACGTCATTATGCTCAAGTAAAATCCTGTACCGCATCTTCACGCAATCTTTATCAACAGGACAACTGCCGGCTGATTGGAAAATAGGTAAAGTTATTCCCTTATTTAAAAGTGGCAATAGATACTCACCAGAAAATTATCGCCCCATATCATTAACATGCATTTGCTGCAAGATGCTTGAGCATATCATTTCTTCGCACATTTATTGTCATTTGGAAACCAATAACTTCTTTTTTGAGAATCAGCATGGATTTAGGCGAGGTTTTTCTTGCGACACCCAATTACTGGAATTTACCACTGATCTTCACTTCAATATGGATAATAATTTACAAACCGACTGCATTTTCCTAGATTTTTCTAAAGCATTCGACCGCGTACCTCATTCCCGTCTGATTTCAAAACTAACAGAACTTCGTTTAGATTCGCTAACCTTATCGTGGATTCGTAACTTTTTGTCATTTCGAAAGCAGTTCACTCTGGTTAATACCTCTTCCTCTCCAATTTCCGATGTCACCTCCGGAGTGCCTCAGGGTAGCGTCTTGGGGCCACTACTTTTTCTAATCTACATTAATGATCTTCCAACTAATATTTCTTCGTCAATACGGCTTTTTGCTGACGATTGCATTCTATACCGTTCTATAACTAGTACCGATGACCACCTTGCTCTCCAAAAAGACCTTAATCTCATTAACAACTGGTGTGGTGCATGGCAAATGACTTTAAATTTATCAAAATGTAATGTAATATCCTTTAGTCAAAAAAAATTAACTGTTGAACTTGATTACACCATAAATAATTCCAACGTGTCACGGTCGTCTTCGTATAAGTACCTCGGCGTTCATTTCACTTCTAATCTTACTTGGGCGACACATGTAACCTACATATCGGCAAACGCATCAAGAACATTGGAATACTTACGTCGAAACCTACGAAACGCGCCAAATAACGTCCGCAAACAAGCTTACATAACCTTTGTTCGCCCACAGCTGGAATTTGCATCCCCCATATGGTCCCCCTTCCAAGCCTATCTCATTAACCAGCTAGAAGCTGTGCAAAACAGGGCGGCACGGTTCATTTCACGTATTTACAGTCGCCCCTCGAGCGTCACACAAATAAAACATGACCTTTCATTACAGCATCTAGACATACGGCGCACAGTTGCCCTCCTGTCTTTGCTTCATAAATATATTCACGCGTCCAGGCCACCACCCTTCCCACTAACAGCACCATTGCGCATGTCTAAACGACTTCACAATCAGCGAAGCATCACACGCATCTTTGGAAAAACAAAATCATTCAATACATCGTATTTGCCTCGTGCCATAGCACTCTGGAATGACCTACCCGACGTCATTGTCAATTTAACTAATCATGAAAATTTTCGCGAGCAATTAATGATACATCTATCTCAATAGCATTGTATAACCTCCTTGAATTCTGTTTTTGTTCTTTGTGCTTTTTTGCGGCTGGGAAATTCTTGTTGTTGCTTGAAGCCCCTCTTTGTCATTTGTGCAACCACTGTTATTAGTTCCAATGTTATTACTTGCTTTGTATTTTTATTATATATTAGTTATTAGTTGCTCTATAGTTGTTTTGCTTTGTAGTTGCTTAGTATTGTGGCAGAAGTATCACCCACTAGCATTCTTTCCTATGTACCCCCCTTACTCTATGCTTCGTAATAGAGCCTGTAAGGTATTTTTAAATAAAATAAAATTTAGTGGTCACTGAAAATTTACTAATGAGCTTCATCGATTTACCAAGTTCCGGATCATTAGCCGGCGGCCAATGAACGCCTCGGCTCATATATGAGACTACCTGGCTACGTCACATCACAAGGTGGCTACGTCACATGCACGTGATCTAAAAGTCCCGAGCCAGCACAAGCGACCTCGGGCCATCTGCGCGCTTGATGCTGGCTGCATCCGCCATGGCATCTGCTATGCCAGGCTTTGCCGTCTTCTCCCTCCATAGCTGTGACACAGGCCATAACGCTGACCCAATTCCAACTTAAACAGCACTTAGGTAGTGAATTATACCTATTTCTGTTGTGATGCAACTTACTGTAAGTGAACTGCTCGAGCGTGTGCGCATCGTAGACCAGCGTGGTTGTTCCACTGCTGCTTCTCCTAGCGAGTATAACGCATGTTTGCCAGACCTTCGGGAATACGCACATTCTCGACGTGGCTCAGAACACCGATGACAAGAACTGGGCACGCAAACAGTGCGAAATCCAGAAACATGCGAGAAACGAACAGAAGAGCAAAGAGAGAGCAGGAGCACGTCAAAAATTTTTGTGTCTAACTTAAGATGGCCGCACTGGCATGCACCTCGCGATGTCAGCTGCCAGGTGCCCAAAAGAAATGGTTCGGACAGTCCCGGGTCGCCCGCAGGCCGCCAGGCATGCGAAAAACGAACATGCGTCCGAGCGATCTCGGACCAGACGGCAGAGCTTCCAGTTGGTCCCCGAGAAAAACGAATGCGGCGCCCGTCGAGGACGTGTAAATCGATGAAGCTCAATGCCATAAAATCACGAGCCAGCGGCCCCCTCCCCCTCAACAGTAAAAGGTATGTGACAAAACTTGAACGAAGGGGGCGGGGACCAAGCAAGTCATTCATGACTTGCTTGGTCATGAATGAAAATTTAAGATGGGCAAAAAGAGCCTCCAAGGATAAAGAATGCACACACCCAAGTTTCTAAGGAAGTGCTTTATTGAATATGACTGCATTCAGTGTTTTCATTTACCTTTATTGGATGAGTAAGAACGGCGAGTAAAATAGCAAAAATGGTGGGCAGGCAGGAGAGGACGCATATTTTGAATCTCCCAAAGAAGAGAGGCTGCGCTTGGTCAGGATTTCACAGTATGCACTCGAATATGCTCTCTATGCTCATTAACGTCACTGTCATTATTATTTCCATATTTTTTTGTCATTGCAAGAGTTTTCAATTGTTAACTGCAAGAATATCACATTCAGTTGTTAAACATTATAGAGTCCAAACAAAACTATTATTTCTTACGCTCTTGGTGCCTCCAATTATTGTTCATGCTTTGGAACGAATAATTATGTCAGAATAGTCATGTAACTTTTAAGCTCTACAAAATTTGTACATGAGTAATGATTCTGATGAATGATAGAAATATGTATGATAACTTCACAGCAGGCTTCTGGCATTTCGGAAACGAAAGGCAGATGATATGATGAAGCAGTTTTTGTGATATGTGTTGTTCACGTTATGTCTGTTGGATTGCTTTATGGCATATGTACGGAAAAAATGTTTTGTATAAATGCCGTGATCTGATATCATTTTCTGACCGAACGAGCTTCAATTATGTTACACAAATGCAATATCGAAGCCATGGCTTTATTACTTAAGTACTGTGTGATTGAAGAGCTGCAGAAGATTTTCGACAAATTTACTGCACTACCGTTGAAGTGTTGTATTTCTTTTTATGCATTCTTGTGATTTGTTCACAATTCGCTGTCATTTGCATAATATGTCTTTATCAATCTTTTTTCCTCATTTTTATTTGTGATATATAGCTATTGTGCTTGTTATCACTTGCCTGTTTGCATTTTTAATAAATATGCAAGGAGATAGCTTGAAGACGTGGTTACCATGCTTGAAACGTGTCTAATCTATCAGAATCCTCATTTTTGCATTTCAGACTGCTACACAGGGCAAAAACTAGCAGGGTCCCCTACGCTTTCATCTAACTCGGCTCAAAGGAGAAAAATATCTTACTGTGTGCTTTATATGATGTTCAGTGTTCACCAATTACATATCACAAAGTGTCACTGATGTCACTCCCCCTATTTAACTTAATCATGCTATTTAATGTGTACCTAATTAGCGCTCACCTGATTTCCTTTATTATTAGAATTAACTTTCACTAACTTGAACTATTAGACTACCACTATTCCCTCGCTATTCCAGACAACGCAAGGACGTACAAACGACTTCCAAATGATTTCCTGTTTGGGAGTTCGGGACATCCAAAAGACTTCCCACACAAGATGGAAAAATATCTCAAGTGATACAAAAAAAGACCCATATTGGATGTCCCCCATTGGAAGCGTTTTGGATGTACAAGTAGGAAGTGTTTGGGATGTTATCGGGATGCAGGGGCATACCCAGGGGTGGTTCAGGGGTTAAACCTTTCCCCCCCTCATTTTTTTGTTTGTGTATATATACACCTACACAACTAAAGACATGCGCGAACATGCAAAAAGTATGAACCCCATCCCCCTGAAAAAATTTCTGGCTACGCTACTCTCGACACATCTGGCCTCTTTTCATACTTTAGAGACTTTCCAAAAGGGTGGGCCATCACCACCCAACATGTTAAAGGGGCCTTCCAACACTTTTGAAGCACGTATTTTTTGTATGTGTTTTGCGTAGACCGATGGCCAGGGATAATTTTAGCATAGGTCCAAGCACCGATATCAAATCATTTAGTATTTTAAGCGTGCAATAAAGTCACCTCATTGCTGCCGACCGCGTCGACGCACAGCGGCGCTCGCTAAAACTACGTGGGCGGAAATGACGACGATGAGCGCAGCCTGTAAAAGGACGTGTAAAGCCTCGCTCCGAAGCAAAAGGACCTGCTTGAGTTCTGACAGGTCGGGGAGGCTCATTTCTACCAGCCTCACCCAGCTGTTCGACCGCATAAACAAAACGGCGTGGTCAGGCACCACGTGGCCTGTTCCTATAACAACAGGGTTATAAACACATTTGACTGAATAGCATACTTGCCAAGTTCAAGGATTTTGAGTCCGGGAGCTTTCCGCAACAGGGGGGGGGGGGGGGGGGGGGTTCGCGGCACAAAAAAAAAACAAGGGCA